TTTCTTATAATATAATATAAGATATTTATATATTATATACAATATAATAATATAAATATTATATTATATGATAAATATATATTATATATTATTTATAATAAATGGTATAATATACGATATTTATATACAATATATAATATATAATATAATAATATAAATAATATATAATATCATAAATATATATTATATATGTTATATATAATATATAATATAATATAAAATATTTATATATTATGTATATAATATTTATATTATTATGTATAATTTATATAATATTTATTATATTATGTATATAATGTATATATAATTATATAATATCAGAATATATTATATAAATATCTTATATAATATTATATACAATATATATTTAATATAATAAATATATATTATATTTATATATTTTATATAATATAATAATATATAAGATATATAATATAATAAATATATATTATATATAATATTTAGTATAATAAAAATATATGTTATATTTATATATAATATACATTATAATATTTATATTATATAATAATATAATAAATATACATTAAACTTGTATATGATTTATAATATTATAATATAATATAATATTATGTTACATTAATATTATATTATATTATATTATATCATATTAATAATACTAATATTATGTATTTATATTATGCGTAGTGAATAGTGATCAACAAAAATGTTATGAAAGATTAAGTTCCTACCCCTCTTAGGAACTTAATCTTTCACTTTTTAACAAAGGGCTGGGAACTTTGGTTGAAAGATTAGTTTATGAACTTTTCATGGAAAGTGTAAAACAAGCGCAAAATCTTTTCAAAATCTGAAAATACTTTTTGAAAGAATACTTTCAAAAAAATAAACACGCTGTAAGGGACTCTCACTGGGCTCGGATGATTTAGGGTTATAAATATGAGAGCTAGGATATTGACATTATATATTGATTCCTACTGAGAGGTGTGAGGTTATTTTGCCTTGATTTAATATGGACCTTTGATTTTAGGCATTCATGTTGTGAGAGAGATGGTTGATCCTAGCCCCACATTACACAACAAGCTATTATTGATGTGTTGTGTGATCTTTCCACCTTATCCCTATAAGTACAGGCTAATTTCCAAATTTTCCTCCTAGAATAATAATTTAAAAAAATTCAAAATTCAATTTAAATCACATTATACATTTACCTAAACAAATTGTGTGAGAGATTAAAATTAGAGGGGGGCATGCCCGTCAATTCTCTATAGTTTCTCACTCTTGCTTTTTCAAGTTTAGAAACTGTATGTTTCTCTCTCTTAGTGTCTTAATCCACACGTGTCTTAAGACGCAAGTATGTTGTCACAACACGCATATTGTCAAAACACACATGTGATCAATAAAAAAGCTCCGCATCATACTAGCTTATAAGATCTAAAATTCGATTGGACTTAAGTCCATAAAATGAGGGAAAAATCTAGGCTTAGTTGGCAATCCACATGTGCACTAATTGAACTCAACATAAAACACAAATAAACCTCAACCACACATCACTTAAGCGCATGCCACCCCATTGTTGATGTTAGTCCCACATCAAACGTGTGGCCACATGGGATGAGATGGGTGTGGGTTCCTTTGGCCATTTGGGCCCCATGCTAGCTCACATGTGGTCCTTGTTGGAATTTTTGCATGACAAATTTAATAAACACGATTTTCGCTTCAGAAAATTTCCTGAAAAATCCAAAAAAAATACAAAAAATTATTTTCAGTATTATTTCGCCATTCTGAACTTATTTGGGATTGAATAAGTTATCTAGAGTGAAATTACGATCCTTAAGGAAACTGAATTTGACGATTTGGGTACTCCACTTGTCTAGTCCTGAAGCCTTAAGTTATTTTGTCAAAATTAACTCAATCAGACCCATGATCCACACTCTGTAGTAGGAGTCCATGCTTGTCTGATCAAAGCTAACCCAATAGATTGGGTGGGTCCCAGAATTATAATGGATTACAAGTAGTCCCCCAAGGACATGCACTCTTGTGGATGCAAGGGTGCTTTCTCTAGCACATTTGCATCTCTTTCCAGTGGATCATACTGTTAAAGAGCGGCTTCCCACTGGCGATTGTTCATGGATATACTGTGAGGAGGCTCGTTGTTAGGGATTTGGCTCATTTCCTCGTAAAGCTTATCCTTTTCACACAGGGCAATATTGAGAAACATGACATATACTCATGTAAATAACATAAACACTCATGTCCTAGCTCTTACGATATGAGGGGTTCTCATGCTGACCCTGACTAGGGACAACCCTCAACCCTTCTAGTTTGTTGTCCTTCAATCCTATTCCTCAAGATTTGGGGTTTTGTGACGTTATGGACACCAACTCTGGATCCAGTTCGCATAGATCCAATGCATCATGTGTTCTTGTTCACTCCCAATATGAACAAGAATTGTAGAAAATCTGTGTGTCAAGGCCTTAAAAGGCTACAACCCTAAGAAAAGGATGGAAGCGAGGTGATGCGGGGGTACATTGATAGTTTTAAGGTAAATTTGATGCAAGAGAAAAGTTGGGAGAGGCTACCATAAAATAAGTTTAGAAATTGGTGGTCCGCATGATATTTCCCTTAAAAAATATAAAAGTACTAAAAATTTGCCCAATTTCATTTAGCTGGTCGAACTGTTTAAAACTAGTTGGTATGACCGCCCAAAACTAGTCAAACATCGGTTTTTACCGTTTTCAACCAAACCCCGATTTCACTTTGGACTAGATTAGCCAAAGCACTGGTCGGCGGTCCGATTAGACCACCGGTTCAGTCCGGTCTTGATAACTATGCTCTTGCTTGGTGTTTTCAAAAGACTTGTTACTTAACTTAAACGTCCTTCTGTTAAATCAAATGAATTTAAGCAAACCTCCGTTTTCCTACATAAATGTGATATTATCAGCTTGCCCACTATTGACATGGGAATCTTGAAAATTCAGAAATGTAGAATTGGACACTTGCTGACATTGTGTTAATGACTATGAATTTCTTGTCTTGTTAGAGATGTTGACCTTCTCTAGGACGTAACTCTCTCTCTCAAATAATTCAAATTTGTTATGGCTTCGGCCTAATTAATCTTATGAGTCCTCGGGTCCTACTATTTTTGTGATTCACACACTATTGTAGAGAGGAGATTTTGACGCATTATCGCAGCAATTTGTTTAGTTTATATACCATATATCGTATATGTCATATATCTCTATATTCTTTCCATGAGAATGGAGAGATTGAGGAAGATGTTGTGCATAGAATTAGAGCTGGGTGGACAAAGTGGAGACGTGCTTTCACAGTCTTATGTGATCATCGCACACCAATGAAACGAAATGGGAAGTTCTATGGGACGGATAAGTATAAGACCAACCATGCTTTATGGGACAGAATGTTGGGTGGTCAGGAAACAACATATCGATAGAATGAGTATAAATTAGATGAAGATGTTGAGATGGATATGTGACAAGACAAGAAAGGATAGATTTCAGAATGAATACATCAGTGGGAACTTAGGGGTAGTTTTAATAGGTGATAAGATGAGAGAAAGTATACTTAGATGGTCTAGCCATGTGCAGCGTTGACCTAGAACACCAGTTAGGAGGGATAATTTGATTCAAGTGGAAGCTCTAAAAGGGCAAGAGACGACCCTAAAGGACATGGATGGAAATAACAAAAAGAGATATGGTAAGAATATGACCCTTGATTGAGCGGAATGGTGAAATAAGATTCGTGTGGCCGATGCCGAATAGTTGGGATAAAGCTGGGATGATAATGATGATGATGATGAGGATACCATTCTATTCAACTTCCTCTATCATTTGTTCAAGTCATTTCCCTTATGGCATCCTTTGAATAGTTGGGACCTTTGTGTGATGGGTATGATCTTGGCATAGGGTCTTCCTTGCTTTGCTTATTCACTCCTCTCTTGGGCTTCAATCACTTCCTGGGTCTTTTTCTCTTTTCTATCGGCTGTTGACCATGTATCAATAGTTACATTCTTTGGAAAATAAGTAGTCATGTGGAAGATGAAATGTCCACCTGCTTCAAGGATAATTACTATCAGTTGTCCTTAGGTTAGAATGTGTTTCATTGATTGAGGCATATGGGGATCAGTTATCCTAGTCTATTCACCTAGATGCTGAGCCCAAGCTCTCATTTGTGGGCTGAGGTTCATTGTTAGTCATTCTCCTCCCCTTTTATATTTTTGTTAGTATCCACGTAAAGTGAGCACGTGGGAGAATAGGTTGTTTGTTTGCCATCATAACCCATAATTCATACATATAAAATGCTCACTAAACTTCTCAAAAAACATGCTGATTAATTTGCATCTAACAAATGCTAGCTAATAATCCACATCCTTTTTA